TGCTGGAGTCCTAATAAAAGCAGGAGGAAGAAGTGGGGAAGATCTTGTCAGCATGCAGTTGATTCTCTCATGGGAACAGATATGAGTGATCTAGGAAGTTTCACCATGTGGATTGAATGGCTACTTTTCTTGCCCTCTTCTTTCTCTTTTTTAATTATATGAAAATGGAATTTAATTCTAAGGATTGCTGCAAGAGCAGGTGATATTAAACACATAGCAGTAGGCTTTTAAAATATGCTGAGTGTAACTTCTCAAAGATAACAGTCATGGCTGGCCAATCCATAGTTAAAGATATCAGCATTGATGCAAATATTTCAGATGACTAAAAGGAGCAAGGAATCTGTCACTCCCAGATGTTTGCCATAGCCCAGCAAGCAGAGTGTTGAAATTAATTAGGGGTAAAATCACCTAAAGTCAAGCTAATTTCTTTTGCAAATCAAGGAACAACAACCATTAGATTCATAAGTCACGACAATAGTTAGAGTAAATAGCAAACTGTTGGCTGAACTTTCACACACAGATGTATAATCAACTCTAATCCATAAAGGAAAGGTTCCACATGCAGTTGCCAAAAATGTTGGATGTGAAACTATTCCAAAATGTGCTATCTTAGTGAAATGTTTGTCATGACGGAAGACAACATTACTAAATACACAAGGGACGATTGTATTATCTGCATTTAATTAATCTGATATTTGAAATTCGGGCACTTAGCAACTAGCATATATTTATGATATTTCAATGTCCCAGGGTCATGGGATCACCATTCATAACTTTTCCAGCTGGTAAAAACTTTCCAACAAGTAAAGTCAATGGGGGAGGCCAGATTCGCTTAATGACCTCAGGATTCACTTAACAACTGCAGTGATTCGCTTAACAATTGTGGGAAAAGGTTATAACATGAGACACAACTCATTTAACAACAGCCTCGCTTAGCACAGAAATTTGGGGCTCAACTGTGTTCGTATATTGAGGGCTATCTGTATGATGTACAGTGTGTGAGTGTGTCTGAGACAGAGCAAGCAATGGCTTCATGCTGTGGGTAGGTTATCATTCCGGGGAGTTTCCTAAACTGAAGGCGTCTGCATTGGGCATGCGAGGGCATTGTCTTGGACAAGACGGAGTCTCCTGAGAGCAGCCAGTGAGATAAGGAAGCTAGTTGGCCATTAATGGGTGAGACCAGAGGATGGACCCATTGTCCATGGCGGAAGTGGGAACCACCTTTGCTCTTCAGCTCCAAGAATCGGCTCTGACGGCGAAGTTCCTCAACTCCTGGAATCAGTTCAACAAGGTTACTGAAGGGACAACCTTTATGAAAGGGAAAAGATTAATTACAAGAGCAGGAATGGAGCAGCCCCTCCTGGAGCCTAGAAAACCCTGAGAAAAGTTTAGAAGGTAGTTCCTGAAGTGGCTGTAGTTAGAAGAACAAGCACTTAAGGGCTTTCTGTTTCCTTCCTCTTATTTATTTCATTTGACTTTTTCCTTTTGTCTATGAGTCTCATGGTAGTATACGTGGTTTCCTATTCCCCTTTTCTCTTCCCACTGTAACAGAATACTGATAGTCCTTGAATTATGACCACAATTGAGCCCAAAATTTCTGTTGCTAAGCGAGATGGTTGTTAAGTGAATTTTGCCCCATTTTGAGATCTTTCTTGCCGCAATTGTGAAGTGATTCATTGCAGTTGTTAAGTTAGTAACATGGTTGTTAAGTGAAGCTGGCTTCTCCATTGACTTTGCTTGTCAGAAGATTGCAAAAGGCGATCACATGACCTTGGGACACTGTAACCGTCACAAATATGAGTGAGTTGCCTAGTGTATGAATTTTGATCACATGACAATGGCGATGCTGCAGTGGTCATAAGGATGAAAATGGTCATAAGTCGCTTTCAGTAACATTGTAACTTTGAATGGTCACTAAATGAACAGTTGTAAGTTGAGGACTACTGTATAGTTGATGCTGAGAGATAAGGATTAGTCCTAGTGCACCTTGTAAGCTTCATTGAGAACAGAGCTATTTTGTTTTCAACCAGGCCATATATCGGCCTCTTATACCCATTGTACTAAGTCATGATATGATCTGTTTGGTGTGGGTTTAGCAAACGGTTGGCAAACCAATGGCCTTCCAGATGTCATTGAAGTACTCCTTCTAAGAATTCCTTCTAAATTCTTCCTTCTAAGGCTGCTGGGAATTGTGGTCATCACCTGCAAGGACACAGATGATGAGTGTGTTGATTGTGTTGGGAAAAGCCAGCCACTGTAGTTTGAAAAGAATGGTTTATGGTATAATGTGATCTATGGATTCATTCAGGGTGATTTACTTAACAGACTGTCATTTATGAACATGTGAGGATCCAGCCATGCTCTTCTAGCCTTGAACTAAGGCATATTTGGGCAAGGAAAGTCTACCAATATTTCTCTCCCAATTTTTATCTGATCTGATCTTATTGAAGGCTAGCAGCATATTAGATGTTTAGATGATGAGCTGAACAAAAGAAGCCTGAAGTTGCTTTAAAATATAAGAAGCGGAAACAAAGAAGATCTCACCAAAGAATCCAGTGGGAGCAGGGTAATGAGCTTTGCAATCGGTATTTGTTTTGTTAGATTTATATTAGTATAACAGAATAACAGAGTTGGAAGGGACCTTGGAGTCCAACCCTGCACTGGGGCAGAAAGCTGATGAAGATTCTTGATTCACCTCATACTTATGGGTCAAACGTACTCGGTTTGGCAACCTAAGCCTACAGCTTCAGACATCACTACAAGGAGGAATCTGCCTTGTAAATATGAGGGTACTTCCCTAACTGTACTAGGGAAAATAAAAGTACCAATTTATTAAAGTAGTTACATCCTTTACAAACAATATAGAAGTTTCAAAGGATTTCATTGGTTGTCTATCTCTACAGGAATTGTTGCTTTGGTTTTGCTGGCAGTCCAAAAAGAAGTCATCTGTTCATGGACCAGCACTTATCAGGGAAGCCTTGTTGAGCCTTCCTAAAAATATGGCTACTTGAATATTTTGGGGTACATTGTTTCACTCATGCCAACACTCACTGCAAGCACCCTTTTCAAATGCCTTGCATAGCCTTAGTTATTATAAGTAGATCAAGATAACATGTATGAAATGCTTGGAATATCTAAACTCTTCCTCCTTGTGTTCATTATTTGAGGTTTACTTGATTAAGACACTCCTTAAAGGATTATCTCAAGGACCATGCTTGTTTTAACTTCTCTCCCACATGGAACCATGTCTGTGTGGTGGCAAATGTCATCTCATGTAGAATCTGTCATGACACCTATGCAGCGAGATATAATCTTCTATTTCTGTATCGTGCAGAGTATTTCTTAGCTATCCACAATAGGCTGGAAGTCTGCTGATACGGATGGACAAAAATATAATAGCTTTAGCTTGTTACAGAGGTGGAGAGGAATGTTGACAAGCAGTGGTATAGACTAGCAAAAGATGAAAAGTATTCGCAAGCAATACATTCAAGATGGCCCTCTGGGACTTTCTTCTTACAAATCATCTAATGACTATTTGGTGCCTTCTAAGTATGTTGGAACTATCCATAAGGAGGGTACCAATTGGGGAAAGTCAGTCTAGTATTTTCTGATTCCTGGGATTTGGAACAAGAATGGTGGACCACGAAGACCTTAATCTCATCCAGCAAAGCACTTTCGTTCTCATTCAAGCACTCAGAATCATAAGTGCACTCCTGTTTCCATGGTGAATCAGCCTCTGGAGGTGGAACAATAGCTCAACAAATAGTTCATCACTTTTGAGATTATGCCAAATCATAAGCCTGACTTGGGCATTATTTTAAATCAAGGAGAAATAATATATTGAAAAGCGGTAGGAATCAGCATGTCACCTCTACTTGAAATTAGCATTTATCCGATTCCAGTGCCTTTTGTGGGAAGACCTGAAGGGGAAATCTTCCCCTTTAATCAATAAGCTGTATGCTTCTCTATACTTTCTTTGCATGATGCTTTTCATGATTCAGATAGTTGCACATACTTGATGCCTGTTTCCCCCAAAATCTCAATTGTGCAAATTTCTATGACTAGTGGCCGAGTGTGACCATATTTTAGCTAAGGGCATATTTAGTAGCCCAGAGTTTTTCAACCTTGGCAGCTTTAAGATAGGTAGACGTCAACTCCCAGAATTGGGTTCACTGGCTGGGGAATTTTGTGAATTGAAGTTCACCCATCTTAAAGCTGCCAAGGTTGAGTATCACTATGTTAGCCTATTTAGCTAGATAAAATCTGGGAAGAGAATACATACTGCCTACCCCTTGCTTAAAAGAAAACCTACAAAGAGCAGTAAATTGCAGAGAGCTGGGTGTTTCTACAAACCAGCCTCGTGCCTGGTTGTTGTTTTTTTAAACCTGGTGGATGCCAAGTCCTGTTTAGTCTGTCCACACCGCCTTGTATGTGTCAGTAAAAATACTTTAAAGGAGCTTGTGGTTATTGCACCTAACAAACAGATTTGTTGAAATGTGTCAGATAATGTAATTGCTTCTTTGAATTCTCTGGGTCACTGTTTGACCCTCATAGTCAGTCTTTGCTTTGCATTTAATCATCAGGTTTCAGGCTTCTGAAGTTTTTCTTCTGTTGAGAAAGACGTTTTTGTTTTTTTACTTCACTCTTAAGTTATTTGTGTACAACAATTTTCCTTTGGTTTAATTGATACACGGGATATAAGGGAGGTTGCAAATTCTAAAGAGATTATTGCACAATCCAAAGCACAATGGTAAGAAATAATCTTTGATCAGATTATAACTAGGTTAAATACAAGCACTCTACTTAGTAAAAATTGCACCAGGATGTTCTTCTCATTTATGATGGATAGCATTGACTGCTATGGTTGGTATTGTACTGCACTTGTATGAATTAAAGGGAACCAAGACTGTCCTGGCCAGAAGGTAAAACAGAGTCAGAAAATAAGCCATTGTATTCACATTCATCATTCTCCTCTTCCCTCTCGTCTCTCTGATTTGTAGGAGGTGGAGGGAAACGGAAAGGAAGGAGCAAGAAATGGAGAGAGATCCTCAAGTTCCCACACATCAGCCAATGCGATGAGCTCCGGAAAGGGTTGGGTAAGTGCAACATGAGACAGATTCCCTCTGCTCAAGGAAATGCAGCAGCTGGTAGCCAAAAGCGTCACAAAATGATGCCACCTTACTTCCTTGTGATGAGCAGAACTACACATGCCACATCAAAGTAAGATTTCCTATAACATCAATTCCCAATGGAAAGCCAAATGGGTTGCTGAACATCCAGACAGGTTGACATACAAACGACCCCACGCAAAAGATGCCAGGCTTCGAACAACCACCTCACATGGTGTCTGTCAGGACTCAATGTATAAATGGAACATAGTAACTTCCCCTCAGTGTGACTGTGGGGTCCTATGTCAAACTGTAGGTCTCATCATGACCAGATGTAAGCTGAGGGCATATGTTAATATATGTTGGAAGACCAGGTATCAGTGGAAAAGGTATTAGAGGTAATATTTCTCCTCCAATGAATGCACAGCCTATAATTTAACAGAAAAGTGAGGAAAGGATCTGTGAACAAAACTAAGTATGAATAATCAATAGTTCAATTTAGCTTTTGTTCTTACTACTCTGTTAAATTTTAGGCCGTGCATTCGTTGGAGGAGAAATAATAATTATTTGTGGAATTCATCACCAGTTGGTGTGTTAATGGCCACTAATTTCCCTAATAAGTGGATTGAATCAGTGCAGGATCGAACCAGTTAGAGAGGACTGATCTGCTGAAGGTGATTAATCTTGAACTACCGTACAGTTTGGAGTTGCGCATTTTCAAGTGCCAGCTGTAGGAAAGTTATGATGGGAGAGAAGTGTCTCCATCTTTCTTGTGAGCATCTTGGACATATCTGGTTGGCCACTGAAAGAAATAAACTGCTGGATAAAGATTTGCCATAATTTCACCCATTCCATTGTTATCATCATGGGTCCTATACACTCTTGTCCATTACCCACGTCCAGGAGTGATTCCCAGATTTTCCGGAATTGCACTGCTGAAATTTGATGACAACTGTTAAAATATAACTCTGTGATTCCTCAGATTTTTTAAAAGGGCCTTTACAAGGCTTAGTAGACCCATTTTACTTCCTAAAATCCTTACGAGTATTAGGGTGGGGGTAGAGATGGAGAAAAGAAAGGTCTGCGGGAATCCTTGAAATGTGAGGAGAACAATAGGCTTATTTTAGGTGTGAAGAATCAGGACCACACATTAAACTCCAGTTAAGCTGATTTATTGCTCATGCCTATACAGAAGAATGTAGTCAACTAATGGTCAGCACTAAATTGGTGTTAGATAAGAGCCAATGGAATTCAAGAGGGATGAACTCAGACCATTTGTGGGAATATAAGGTTTCTAGACTTATGACTCTCTTGACTCCACCCCTGACTCTGCCTATCCTTCTCCAACAGCTCCTCTTCTAAAGAAATTACCCACCTTTGATGTTTGCATGGCAACTACTGTAGGTCTTTGGGGCCACATTGTATTTTTATTCCCCACAACAGCAAAATTGAAAAATAAAGTGGGATAACAGAGAACTATTGCCCTAAAGTCATTGTGACTTGGTGACTGACGGGGGAGAGGTCTCCCCACTCCTAATGCAATACATAACTACTGTATTTAACTGATTATCAGAGGGAAGTTGGAAGTGACTTTAGGGCAATTTATGTTTTGGGAAGCCTACTGTGTGGTTTTTATGCATCGAGTCATCTTCAAATCATCTCTTTCCAAGAACTTCTGTGAGCCTTTTTTTCAAGTGAATCAACACAAAGAGTAAATTAATATCCTTGGTGGTTGTGTGGCCTGGTCTCTGACTTTTAAGTAAGCTCACTGTTCTCCCAGGCCCTTGTAGACTATTAGAGATCCTTGTGTCTGCCCCCATCTTCTCATACTTCAGTTTGTTCCCAGAAGGAACATGCTGAGATGCAAATGAGAACATGTTCCTACTGCTTGAAAGTATGTTTACAAAAGATTCGGGGGGGGGGGGGGGGGGGAGTTGTGAAATGGGGAATGCGAAGGAGTTGGGCAAAGGCAGATGGGCTCGTGAGAGAGCTCAGCAGGACGTGATTGTGACAACCAGAAGTTGCAGATATGGAAGGCGCCATGAGCACCTAAGTGCAAAAAAGAGCTGGCCTTCTCAGTACCTGAAAAGCAAGTTTTGAGAGTCCAGTTTTTTTCCCCCGGGACTTTGAATCTGCACCCAAAGGTCATCTTTGTTTGATGCGATCAGATGAAGAATTTATGTTTTGGGATCAGCTACAACATCATCCCAAAGCTGAACAGTTTTGTATCTAAACAGATGAACTATGATTTAGAATTTCTTTTCTACTTTCATATGCGCAAAATCCAGGTGTGCAATGATAATCCCCAGCATCATCATCCCTATTCACACATTACACTAAACAATAATGTGGCTTGTTTGTTTTGTGCTTATAGATTGAGTCCAGCCATTGTCATTTTGGAATCATAATTAATGAGTTAGATTTATTGCTTATTTTAATAACCAATGTTAAGCACGTTGTAGTTTAAAACAGTGTTTGAATTAGCATACACCATGGACTTCAAATTCATAACAAGACTTGGTTTCATTTTTTGTGCACCATTCAGATAATTTTGGCTACTGAGCAAAGCAAATTCAAATCCAGATGAACTTTGATCTGATCTGAAATCTAAACATAGCTCTCTTCTTTGGGGAATTGTGTGCATCTTTAGCTATAAATATTTACAGCCATGCTGACTGGGAAATTCGGGGAGATGAAGTCCATAAGTCTTAAAGTTGCCAAGGTTGGACACCCCGGCTTTTAAAAATGGCATTCCAACTTGCTACATATGAAGCTCTACTAGGATGGACACCCTTGAAAGCCCCATGGTCCAGAACTGTCTGCTTACAAGTGACAATAATTCCTTCTCCATATCTTCCTTTGTAGAACGAGATTACAACAGTTTGTGTGACAAGCAACCCATCGGCCGACTGCTTTTTCGACAGTTTTGTGAGACCCGGCTGGAACTCCTACGGTGTATCCACTTCCTGGATGCTGTGGTAAGGCGAGCACAGTTTCTAAAGTATATTTGGCTCTGTTCAGCCAATCCTTAAGGGACAACCAGGTTCCCTTTGGCAACTCCTATTTAAAGTATCCCAAAACTTTGGATGGCACAAGATTGATGATGAAGTGTCAAAAATCAGCAGCAAAATTGATGGAATCCTTGGTACTTCAAGTCTAGAAGATTGACAGAAACATACCCTTTACAGCAGGGGTCACCAACCTTTTGGACCTCAGGGACCACCAAACTCATAATTTTAAATCCCGCGGACCAGAGACCCTGGGAAAATCCCCCAAAAAGTCTGGAGGAAAATTCCTCACCCCGTTTTCCTACCGATCGATCATTCTTTATTTGGGATCGCAGGATACCGTCTCCAGCTCCATTCTCGGGGGTGGTGGGGGTGGGAGAGAGACTTTTGGCTTCCTGCAAGGAAAGCAGCAGAAGCAGCAGAAGTCTTTCTTTCTCTCCCCCAAATTCTGCCAGAAATGAGTCTTCGTGAGACTTGTCATGCCGGCACAGCCTCTTGGAGCAGGAGGCCTTGCAGGGTCCCAAAGATTCATTTCTCGCAGAGTTTGGGGGAGAGAAAGAGAGACTTTTGCTGCTTTCCTTGCATGCAGCCACAAGCAGAAGAAGAAAGAAGCGGAAAGAAGCAGCAGGTGGCCAAGTGAGGCATGTGGAGCAAGTGGGGTAAGTCCCCCCCACTGCCCTTTCCTCCCTCCCCTCACTACCTCATGTTGTTTGCAATGCAAGCAACACAAGCCTTGTATTCCTGCGGGCCATGTGGGCGGTGCAGCCTTGTGTTCCCGCGCAACCAGGATTAATTGCTTTGGGGGGTGCTTTGGGGGTGACATTTCTCTGCGGACCACCACAATTTTCTTGCAGACCAACAGTGGTCCCTGGCCCACTGGTGGTGACCACTGCTTTACAGTATATGCCATACTGAATTAGGTGGACCTGTTACCTAATTAAATAATAAGTTATTTTGCTTTCCTCCTCCAATCAGGAATGATTTAGCTGGGTGCAAAATACCTGCCTTACATGCAATTGGTCATGGGTTTGGTCCCAGGGATCTCCCACTGAAAACAAGTGGGATCTAGTGGCATATGTGAGGAGAAAGGTCCTTTGTCAAGCACTCTTGAGAGGTGCTTCAGCTTGATCCTTCATCGTTTGTAACCAGTTGGAATTTGGAGAATCTATCATGGGTGTTTCTCATCAAAAAATGGCTGCTTACAAGAAGCTGCTCATGTCCAGGCCTGCATAAGCCAGTGTGGTTGTTTATCACCAGGTAAAATGATGAAATTAAAAAATAAAACTTAATATGAAGGCTGGGATGGAACTGAAGTGCCAAAATACGTACTGGCACTCCCACAAGACTTCAGAATATCTGTTTTCCAGAAGCCATGGCAGTGACACTCAGAAAACACTCATATGTACACTACCCTTCCACCAGCACACACACACATATCAAGGTAAACCACACAATGCACACTTTGATATATATGCAAAAATATTCCCCAACCTTGTTTATTCTTAAATCTTTAACTTACTTTCCCAAGCTTATCTTATATCTGAAACGTATGGTCTTATATTTGAGGAACCTCAAAGAAAAAAATATCTTTCATCTCTGCCCATTATAGACAGGATACGGTCTCTTATGGAGGGGAGGGGTTGGAATTTCCCATCATCTTCTCCCAACTGGCTAGTAAACATTGGATGCAAATTAGAAACTTTCATGACCTTCTTCACACGACGCACTCCACTGTGGGAAATCCTTTCCTAGTAACATTTTAGTTCCAAGAATCCAGTTATGGAACTTACAGAGGAAGTACAAAATCAGTCACTCTTTTGAGATAATTCTGTTCACTAAAATTCTGATGGCAACATTTTTATCTTCTCTGTCTTTTACAAACCTTCTTCCTGTCAGTACTGCCTTTTTGAAATTCTTGTAAAGGGAGGACAACTTTAAAAAAAAAAACTAAGAGGGGAATGGTGGGGGGGAAAAAACCCAAATTCTTCCAGAGTGACCTCTGGAGAAGATCAGAAAGGCGGGTGTGTTTTTCAACCCACTCTAAAGTCAACGGTGCAAAAATTCCATTGGGATGACGTATGATTTAAAAGTCAGCACTTCATCTGAAATACTATCCTAGTGTTTTTGTGGGTTGCAACCCCCACTCATGTCTTTCTTTTGAAAATGTTGCTTAGCCTGAAAGCATTTTAACCTCAAGCAGAACAAATCATAGTTTAGGGTTTCTTCAACTCATTTTCCTCTCCAAGTTCCTTCTTCCACATCTCCTAAACTCAGACAAATTTACAATCAGAAAATTGATCTGTTTTTGCTCCTGGGCCAGGAGGTCTTTTCAGATGGCCAGGAGGCCTTACATCAACCTCGTAAAACACTCTGTGTTTCTCATTACCAAACTGTTTATGCAATTCAACATTGTTCTGTCTCTCTTCCTCTCAATGGGAGGGAGTTTGTTGAACCTTGGGCCTTTTTCTTATTTTCATAAGCTTGTTGGATGTGAATGACAGGAATGCCTATCTGGTCAGCTGGCTGCAAAATGGGAAACACATGCTTGGAAACCAATCCTCTGTAAGATTTGAACTCTTTCAGCCAGCAAAAGGCTGAGTGATAAAAAGTCATTGTTTATTTAAATTTGGTTCAGGAACGTGACCCGGCCAGGGGATCTTTTCTCAAGGAAATTAAAACTGGTGAGCATCAAATGCTTTAAGAAGGGTGTTGAAGGATCCGGAACGATTTATGCTTTTCATTTTTCAGAGTTCAGCACCTTGTTTTCCCATTCTTATTTCCAAGTTAATAGAAATGGATACAGCTACAATCCCAAGAAATCTGTCCCTGGTTTTGTGTTTTTTTTTCATCAACCTTTATAGCATGCAAAGCTCCCAGAATAGTTTATATAATAACAAAAATTGGAAAGCTCTCAGAATTGTGGTCTAAAAAACCCTTCACACAGAGCTGGAAAAAAAAGGCAGTGAAAATAAGAACAATCAGGTACCAAATATTAAAATGCTATGGTGACTATAATGGAATTGGGCTGCTTTTAGAGTGACACCATTGTCTCCAAGTTCAACAATCCAGTTGCTTTATCATACCAGAACAGCAGTCTTAATATTGTTTACAGCAGATGGAAATTTTTCTTTGCCCTTTAAATTCTCAGTGTTTTTTTTTTCCAACACCTTTGAGTCAGAGTTGATTCCTGGTGACTACCTGGACATGTCCCTGTAGTTTTCTTGGCAAGGTTTCTGAAGGAGCTTGCCATTGTCTCCTTCCTTGAGTTGAAAGTGAGTGACTGGCCCAAGCTCATTCAGCTGGTTTCATGCCTAAGACAAGAATAGAACCCACAGTTCCTTGGTTTCTAGCCTGATGCCTTAACCACTACACCAATGGTCTAACCAGGACTACATTTATAGTCTAAGAAAACTTTTTCAGCATGGCACTCTGCAGTCAGCTTTAACATTTCCTACCAGCATTTTCACTAGAAGTGGAGAATAGGATTATTCAATTTGCTTTGTTGGGGTTTTTTCCAGCAAACATAGAGGGAATTATCTGCTGTGTATTAGTGCAAGGCCAAATGTCTATGGAGATTCTCAGTCATCCAGGTTATAGTTGTCTCAAAGGTGCTTTTTCCAAAGGGACTGTTTTTTGAGGATGAAGAAGATGTTTCGCTTCTCGTCCAAGAAGCTGCAAGGTTAGATTCTTATCCAATAGTGAACAGTCTGAATAAGACCAAAATATCTTCACACTGATTAAATATAATAGTTGAGAATTGCAGAGTTGGTTTTACTGAGTTTAGAATTTCTTCAGAAAAAAAGCCTTCCAGTTGTAACATGCTTCTTTTTTAAAATATGTGCATCTCATATCTGGAAATCACTGTCTGAGCTCAGCCATTGTCCTTAGTCATGGTTCCTTGAATAAGCTGCAACTGGCTGAATTCACATATATTGCAAATCCATAGATCATAATCTCAATACATTATTTTTAAGCCCACATAGCATGCTAATATCAAACCAAAGAAATCACACCATATAAAGTCACTATGTTTATAGGTCCAAAGTACAGACAGGGATTTAATAGAGTGTCATCTTAGGTGCCTTCTATCTGAATATCCAACAGCACAAAGACTTCAATCACGTTACTAGTGGTTGCCATGTTTATTTTGATATCTGCCATTGTAGTTTTGCATTTAACTCATAATGCACTGGACTTAGAAGTTTGAACCCATTGCAGTTAGGAAAATAAAACTGGCTGCAATATCTGGGTGCTGCTAGAAGAACAATTCTATACATGTCACCAGCAATGGAGGCCCCAATCTGTATCCAGTCACACCTGTAACAGGATGCTAGAAGCTGAGGCAGTGGCAATGTTTATAGCTTGCACAGAAATCTCTGGTGCTCTGTCTTTTATAGTCTTCCTGAAGGCAGTTTCAGTATGCTCTTAGTTAATAAATTTTCTGCCATGATAAGGTGTTTATCTTTTCATCAGATGTTAGCTTTTATCTACTGCTGTTTCCTGTTCCTTTCTTTTATCATGATGGAGTGCTATTTTATATCAGAAGTGTGCTATTGCTCTTTGAATTTGTGTACTGCTTTGTTTGCCCTTAGGGCAGGGGAGCAGGATAAAAATAATTAATTTGGTGGGTGGGCTGATAGATCCTTCTCCTTGTACTCCCTGCTGTTTTTTTGTGTTCATTCTCTAGCCAGACTTCATCCATCATCAAGATACTTTGGGTATGCATACAGGTTCCCAATCCTGTGGCAGATTTGGGGGTCTTCTAGCAAATCATTGTCCCATGATTAATTTGTGACTCAGCGACCCAGGGTGTTTAACTTTAAAAGTCTTTGGCTTTTTCCATTTTTCTCCCTTCCTCAAAGTCTTCTCAGACCCAGGTTTATTCTTCTGCTTCTTCAGCAGCTGACAGTCTTGTAAAGGAGCAATATGGAGGAACGTTCATCAAGCACCCCTGTAGCTGGTGAACATCCATCTACTTCCCTGGGGAATTGCTGTACATGCTTTCCCATTCATTTCTCATGGCTGTGGCCCAGCAGCCTTTCCAGCAACAAAAACACAGATGTCACTTGAGCCTTGAGAGTAGCAATGACCTGCAAGTCATCCCAGTGACATGGACCTTCTAATTTGGATCTTCCTGTTTTTAAGAACGTTGGAGGGATGTTAAGGCAATTTATTAAAGGTGGGGGAGGGGGGAATCCACCTGTGTTCATCTGCTTTGATTGGCCATTTGAGGTCCACCTCCCTTCTCTTGCAGTTGACATGTAGCGCAAAGCACTTTCATACTTGGCGTTATCGCCCTGGTCTGCTGAAATGGGTTCCGTCTGCTGCACGCTTGGCCAATTTACCTGCCTCTCCACTCCCACCATCACCACTATTGGGATGAGATGAGGAGTCCATGTCTTGTTTCCCTTTTGTTGCTTAGCAGCAAGCCCTGTTCCAAAACAATGGGGAGGGAATCTGTGGGTCAGATTTTTTAATAGCAGCAATGTGCTCTTCTCCACTGTCAGGCAAACAGCTTGTGCTCCTGTGGAAATAAGCCAGGAAAGGAAGGGAGGTACACTAGAGAGACAAAAAGAATGTGGGGAGTGGGAGGAAGGAGGGGGTAAAGGGAATTACAGACAGGGACTTTAAGCTTGAATCCAGAAGCAGAGTTGAAAGTCGGACCACACTTTTGTCCTCAGGTTTCAGTTGTTGGAGTTCCCTTTAGGAGTCCACACTGGGAGATGTAGAAATCCTTGCTTAGTTCTTGGTAGGGTTGAGTACAAAGCGTTTCTTCATTCATACAGTAGCATCAGTGCACAGATTATAATACTTTACCTGTCTAATCTAAGAAGCGCAAGTTCCTTATTTTCCCCACATTTAAATCCCACAATGCAGCCTAACAGAGCCTGCTGTTTTGAGTGGGATGTGAACCTGTTAGGATGTTCACAGGTCCTGGTCATTTTTCAATCTTGTCCTGGATCAGATTTGAGCTGGATGATTCTTGTAATTCCCAGGCTTTTGCAATTTGGCTCTTTCAGACTCAGACTAAGGAAATGATAATGGTCAGTTCTTGAGGCCATGTTTGGTCTTGGAGGACTTTGATTGTTCATTCCTTAACATCTTCAGATGCCTAGAGAGCTTAAGGACCTCCTAGCTGAGCTTGAAAAACCAAGCAGGATGAGATCTGGTTAGCATTTGGATGGAAGAAATCAAGAAGTCCTAAGGCCACAGTCTAGTCTTGGTAGACAGTAGAACATCCTAGAAGAAGCCTGATCCAGCTACTTTATATTTTATCTTTTTTGTTTATTTTAGAACAGGCTGCATCTTCCCCTGAGAGTCTAGCACAGATAAGTATGGAAAATTGGTGACATTCAAGTCACCAATTTATATTTACTTGTATTTATACAAGTAAACCAATTTAGCAACATCTGCATGTGTTTCATCACAGTTGTCATTATGAACCAGTTGACAAAATGTGTTCCATCCATAGTCCCAGGCATCTTGCTGATTAGTGAACTATAAACATCCCCTTTCCCCCAGGAAAAATCTCTAGTATTTATGCTTTCCCATCTGTTATTTTTTCATACCCTGAACTCAAGGGGAGCTGTGAAAATCTCATCTGGCATCTGGTGCATAACATCCACAAGTTTACTTATATCCTTGATATAGGACTATCTGAAGGACACACAAGTGCCAAAAGAGAGTTGTTTTCAGTCCATTGTATCATCCCCATGTATATGCACTTAGGTGAATCAGAATATAGTTGGAAGGGACCTTGGAGGTCTTCTAGTCCAACCCCTTCTCAAGCAGGAGACTATACCTACCAATACCAGTAGGTGGTTGTCCAGTCTTTTCTTAAAACCTTCCAGTGATGAAGCATCTACAACTTCTGAAGGCAAGCTTTTTCAGTGGTTAATTGTCTTCACTGTTAGGAAGATTCTCTTTAATTCTAGGTTACTTCTCTCCTTGATTAGTTTCCATCCATTGTTACTTGTCCCACCCTGTGCTTTGAAAAATAATTTGACCCCCTCTTTTCTGTGGCAGCCTCTCAAATATTGGAACACTGCTATCATGTCCCCTAGTCCTTCTTTTCTCTAGACTGGCTATACCCAGTTCTAGCAACCGTTCTTCATATGTTTTTGTCTCCAGGCCCTTAATCCTTAGCTCTTCTTTCCACTTTTTCCAAAGTCTCAACTTTTTTTTTAAATCAGTGACAAAACTGGATGAAGTATTCTAGTGTGGTATCACTAGAAGTCTTATAGAGTGGTATCAGTACCTCACTTGATCTTGATTGTATCCCTTTGTTAATACAACTTAGGTTTGCATTGGCTTTTTTGGCGGCTGCTGCATACTGCTGGCTCATATTTAACTGGTTGTCCACTAAGACCCCAAGATCCTTCTCACTGTTACTGCTATTAAGCCTGGTTTCACACAGACTATATGTCTATTTTTGGTTTTTCTTGCCTAAGTGTAAGACTTTACTTTTCTCTGCACTGAATTTCATTTTGTTAGATAGGGCCCAGTGTTCAAATCTGTCAAGATCCATCTGGATCTTGAGCCTATCTTCTAGGGTGTTAGCTATTCCTGCCAGTTTAGTATCATCTGCAAATTTGGTAAGTTCCCCTTCTACTCCCTCATCTATGTTGTTTATGAAGATGTTGAAGAGTAAGATGGAATCTTGTGGTACTCCACTGCTTACTTCCCTCCATGTAGACTTAGACCCATTAAGGACTACTCATTGAGCATGGTTTGTCAGCCAGTTATGAATCCATCTGGTGGTGATGCTATCTATCCCACTTTTTTTCTAGCTTACCAAGAAGTAGGTTGTGGTCTACTTTGTCAAATGCCTTGCTGAGGTCTAAGTATATTATGTCCACAGTATTTCTTGAATAAACAATGCCTCAATTGGCACAGTGTGAACATAGTCAGTATAAAGCAGCCTTAAATTTACAACAGTAACTTGTGGCACATTTTGTTCTTTACTAGTTCTCTAAGCAGTTAGTACTTAATGATTTCTTTTTGACTTCAGAGAAAAGGAGAGATAGTGGCTTTTTCTCCAGTTAATCAAGAAAGAGTCCATTTTCTTTGTAAGAGCATTGCAACAAGAGGGCAAGGGGAAGAAATAGAGAGAACCATTCACATAGCTGATGCAATAATACACATCTGTGGGTGTGGAATTTCTTGACGACTGCAGCTGGACAACAAGTTGGTTATTAAATACAAAGCAGAAATAACATTTCTCCAGAACTGCACCTGGAATATCACTATTGCAATTCAGGAAATTTGGCAATTCCAGAAACAAGCAAAAAGGAAAGGCAGAGTAACTATCAATGTTTCATCCGTAACTCACAACTTTATACCAGAACAGAGATCACTCCAGGTACTTTTCCATGAAGAGCACTTGAGCTTTTAAAAATGAAAGGAAAAAAATGAAAGATCTCAAGGACCAAAACTGGGGTATAGGCAATAAATAGGACGATCTAGTTTTGAGCTAATTCTCCCTGCCATCTCCAAAATGTTTGTGAGTCAACAGACAATGAGGAGAAACATAAAGTCTTGGGGGGGGGGAACCTTATTGAATCAAGAAATGTCCTTCTAGATGTGTGGGATAGATGTCCTCTTTGGCTTCCAGGATAATGTCCTTTTCAGGTGGAGCTTCTGTTCTGATGACCCTCTTTTCTTCTTCCCCAGGCAGAATATGAGCTTTCTCCAGATGAGAAACGTAAGGAAATGGGAGAAGAAGTCATTCGGCAGTTTTTCAACAAGGAGGTCAGTATCGCACCTTCAGAAGATAAAGGTGGAGATTGACAGGGTCCTTCTAAAAAGGTGGTTCGATATACAGAAGTCCAAAAGTATTATTAAGAATTGCTAGAATCATCTGTAGCAACTTATGTTTCCTTTCTCTGGGGTTGCCCCATTTTTCTTCTTCCAGCTATTGTGTGAGATGTTTTACTTTGGATAAAAGTGCCAGGATCATTTCAAAGGATGTGATCTTGGGTGCTGGGTGCTTTTAGAGTATTCCTGATTGTAGAGTCCAAACATTGAGTAATCCAGAAGAATCTTCTTCAATTGGTTGGCTTTCCAGAGGAGCTCAACTCTAGCTGCTCTTCTCCTAGACAGCAGGAATGATTGGTTATGAGAACCTTATTCTAGCAAACAGAAGATCACTAACTAGGGAAGGCTGCTATATGAACTGAGAGCAGAGACTACAGAAGCATATAGCATATTTTTATTTTACAGTGAGGAGTCAAAGTAGGGAGTGAAGACAGAGAAGAATAAGAATTGAAATCTACCGATAGAGGAGAATATTTGTAAGTCAACTGTAGAGTCCTTCCTGCTCTTGAGCTTGGTGGTTTTCTTGCAGACATTTCATTACTAAACTAAGGAGCACAATGGCTCGTGTGGTTAGGACTCTGGTTTCTAGGTTAGTAAGCCCAGATTGAAGAACTGAGTGTTGCCATGGGGCGGGGTTAGCTCTCATCCTTCACTCCAGCTCCCGCTGAGGACATGAAAGAAGCCACCAATTGTGCATCCCCTGGGCAATGGTGATGTCACTGGCTAATCCTTTCCCGGAAGCACCTCAGTGCTTCTGACACGAGTAGTAATTACTAAACTAGGTAACATCATCAGTGCACGACTCCACAGAATTATTATCTTGTGTGCAAGATAGTTTACTCGCTTTAAGAATTATTAAGCATTTGTTTATGGCTCTTTTCCTTCTTTTTATGTGTATGAGTTTAGTCCCTGGGCTATATGGCAGAAATTTGTGAACTTTTTATGAACCAGTGCATAGAAGACCTACAGAGAAGCCCTTGCAAGGATCTCTTTGGCAGTTGTGTACAGTAAGTACTACATCCAATAGATCTGGAAGCCAAAAGGATAAGGGGGTGGATTTGGTTTCTTGTCAGGACAAGCTTGTGTATATCCATAGAAGTCCAATTTTTTGTATAATAAACCAACATTTTCCAATCTAGGAACCCTTCCAGATGTGTATGTAGACCAACCACAGAGTTCCCCAAAACCAAGTGACATTGCTGAGAATTATGGGAGTTGAAATGTATGGGTGGAGGGTGCCCTGTCGTAAAACATCGGGATAAAACATGGTTACTTTATCCATAATTTGCTATAAAGAAGATAGCTGCATAAATCATGGTTGACATTGGCTTGTTTTAAACTCAAAGGGTAATTAAAATAACCGCAATTTGTTGGGTTCAAATAATGTGGCTAGATGTGGCTAATATACTCATACAACACACTTACTCATAGTTAACCATATTGAACTCTGTCCAGTTTTCTGGGTTCACACACTACAATAATTCATAACCACACAGGCTGAGTTTGCACAAATGCTATATTGAAATGATTTGGGACTTAGTGTGTAATATAAAACAGCCAATAACTCCCAAACTCTTTTTTTTAAATATGCCCCCAATGAAGGAAAGGTGTGTATGACCTAGATGGGGGGCTGAATTCATTCCTTTTACAATAAACTCAATGAAAATTACTTAGTGTAGTTTTTAGTAATTACCTATTCTACAGATACATGAAGGCATGAGACTGAAGAACACTGATGTTTTGTGGTAACCAATTTGTAGCTAATTAATCCAATAATTTTCTAAATGGCATTTACATTACATATTACATTAAAATAAAGTCTATTAAGCTATGTATAGCATAGCTTATTGAATCCATGTCACAAGAGGAATAAATCATTTACAAACCATGACAGTTGAGTCCATAATCCTGCTATCAGTCTCAAACAAACCTTATTTTGAATGAACCCAACTAAGTGGTGCATCTTTGCATTTTATAAGAAAATCATGACCAGTCAAGGCTGAACTGTTTTTCTTCCCTATGAATCCCAAGGTGGACCATCATGGGCAGAAGTAGCTTTAAAGTCAAGAAAAAACACTGGGTTTATATCATTATATAGCAGTGTTTCTCAACCTTGATAACTTTAAAATGTGTGAACTTCAATGCCCAGAATTTCTCAGCTGATATGCTGGGTGGAGAATTCTGGGAGTTGAAATCCACACATATTAGAGTTGCTAAGCTTGAGAAGAACTGCTATGGAGAGTATCCAATATTAATCACTTTGTGAGCCCACAAAGAACCTGCCTTCCTAGTTCATAGGGGGAAAAACACCCATTTTCAATTTCTCTTATCTCTTAGGCGCTTGCATGAATACCTGGGCGGTGCTCCTTTCACAAATTACCAGGACAGTATGTATTTTGACAGATTCCTCCAATGGAAACACCTGGAGAGGTAAGACAATAATCCTGAGTGGCCGGAATGCAAGAATCCCCACTCATTTACTGAGCTAATGCTGATAAAAATGGGTTTTCAATGATGCGGTATGATCTTCTTAATATCTTTAGGCAATCCGTGACCAAAGACACCTTCAGGCAATACCGGATCCTAGGCAAAGGAGGCTTCGGAGAGGTAGGAAGTGGTGACAGCTTGAACTTGTTCTGAATTAGGAGTAGCTTTGGATTCCTGCAATCTCAAATTCATTTCTTTGGCCTCAGTTCGAACTAGGGAGGGGTGAATTTGCCAAAGTCAGATTTGCTCAGTTTTCAAAAACAACCACCACCAAAAACCTATTTTAGCTTTCTTCTGCATCTCACCACAAACTTCCTCAAAGATAAATCAGCTCTTTTCCAAATATGTCTGATTTTGGAGTGGGGGCATTGTTTGAATCATGAAAAGATTAAGACATTCTGGAAAATAGAATTTTTATCATTTAAGTGGGTTGCAATTTGGGTCTAGGTTTATGAAGTGCAAAATTTTCGTCAAAATGAATCAAATAAATTTTGCTGCTATGCCTACTTATAATACTTCTATTATTGTCTGCCAAATGGTGAATTGTCATAGCAATTCCTATCAGTGAGAGTGAGAGGCTCACTGCATGCAGAAGCTATTTCAGACCATGCTGGTCGGGGAATTCTGAGTATTGAAGTCCACAAGTCTTAAAGTTGCCATGGTGGGAGACCCCTGGTCTAGATCAGGGGTCGCCAACCTTTTGGACCTCAGGGACCACCAAACTCATAATTTTAGATCCCATGGACCACTAACTGGTTCTGTGGGTGTGGCCTAATTTGTGGGTGTGGCTTGGTGGTCATGTGACTGGCTGGGCATGGCTTGTATGTAAATATTATATATATTTATATAAATATTGAATTTTTTATAAAAAAAGAGCAACTTTTTCCCAAAATCAGACAAAGCAGGCAGGCAGATTGAGTTGCTCACAGAATCACAGATTCATTCAGAGATCTATCTATCCGCCATTGGCTAGCTCACTCTGTCACATAAAATTTGCTTGCAAGCAAACTCATAAAATTTGCTAGCAAGCAAACTCATAAAATTAACTCACAACACACCACGTATGTAAATATTGAATTTTTTATTTAAAAAAGAACAACTTTTACCCAAAATAAGGCAAAGCAGGCAGGCAGATTGAGTTGCTCACAGAATCACAGATTCATTCAGAAATCTATCTATCCGTCATTGGCTAGCTCAGTCTTTCACATAAAATTTGCTTGCAAGCAAACTCATAAAATTTGCTAGCAAGCAAACTCACAAAATTAACTCACAACACACCATGCATGTAAATATTGAATTTTTTATTTATATTTAAAAAAACATTTAAAAACATTTACCCAAAATTAGGCAAAGCAGGCAGATTGAGTTGCTCACAGAATCATTCAATGATCTGTCTATCTGCCATTGGCTAGCTCAGTCTCTCAAATTTGCTTGCTGTGAGTATGCACTGAATTTCCTTGCAAGCAAACTTTCAGTCCTAAGGGAGGTTCGGCTGTACACTTAAAAGCAGAGCCGAAGATCTAAAGACTAGCTAGAAAGCAAGAAATCCAACCATTTCCTGCTTCCTAGTTAATCTAAATCTCCCGGCACAGCAGAACAGATGACGGTCGGAAAAAGGAAAAATAGCAACTTAGCAGACAAGTTTGGCAGGTAAGGAGTGAGTGGGCGGAGAGGGTTCCCGCGAGCCATGTGGGCTGAGCAGCCTTGTGTTTCTGTGCAACTTGGATTAATTGCTTTTGGGGGGTGCTCTGGGGGTGAGATTTCTCTGTGGCCCACCAAAATTTTCTCATGGCCCACCAGTGGGCCGTAGCCCACCGGTTGGCGACCGCTGGTCTAGATGACCAAGCTAGAACCCCCCAATTGACTGAATTCATACCCATCTCTCTGGTTTGTAGTTTGCAAACCACTTAAAAGTACTGTATAACATTAGGTCTTAAGACAACCCAGGGTTAATTCAGCAGTTAAGCTACTTCACCTAATGCAATGCAATGGAGAAACACAGCATCTCACCCCAAAGTCCCCCACCACAAAAGGGTAGTTGTGAATCATGTGGGACAAAGATGTCTATGGAGATTCTCAGTCATCCAGATCATGGTTGTCCCTTTTTCAAGTTCCTTGTTTTTCTTTGAAGACATTTTGGTTCTCATCCAAGAAACTTCTTCACCTCTAGAAGGGCTTCTTCAAAGAAAAAAAAGAAAGTCCAATTGCCTCTTGAAAAAGCAAAAGAGCATTTTTGGCAGGACTGGATGGTGCTTATAAATAATTCCTATCCAAGAAGCATCAGAGGTCATCAAAATATCAAATCAGGAATGGCCCAGACATCCTGTCCTCTTCTGGGCTACTGGAAGTCCTGAAATGAAATTGAAATAAATCTAGAACCCTCTAAAAAAGTAGGTATGAAGAAGGATTGAGACTAATGCTCCAGCATTACTTCCTTCTTCTCTGACATTACTGTTTTGATGGGGAAAGTCTGCAGGAAGGTTGTCATTGTGTTCATCTGAATTTGACCACAACTTCCCATGAAGCTTAATTCCAGTTTCATGGAGAATTGCAACATCATTCCATTAAAAATGTTTACACACTATTTCTACAGTTCTTGTCAACATGGGTCAAGCAGGGGAAGGGAGAAGAGTTTACTACAATCTGACTCCATGAAGTCGTTTGCTGAGAGCCAGAAGAGGTTTGTTCTGAAAGGGTGCAACCCCAAGTTAGTAACACAGAAGCTGCATTTAGATTATATTAAAAAATAGACATGACTCATTTCCTGGTTATTCCACCTAAATCCTTGTTATTAGTTGAGTGTGAGGGACTTGAGGCTTTATTTCATAGCCAAAAGTCAGACTGAAAAATAAAGGTGATGACTTCATATGCTGAGGCTGGGACAATTCAGTTTGTCCAATTTTTGGTTTGGAGTTGAAAGGTTCGAGAATGAACACACAGGAAGAAAAATCACTGGAAATAAAACCATTCTCATGTCCTTCTTTAGAAGGAGCCCCCCCCCACCCAGTCTCCTCCAAATTGCACTGCTGAAGTGTGGGGACAAAAGGACTACAAATCAATGTAATTTGATGGCAATATAGTTCTGGCTGTTTTGAAGTAGGTAGAGGTAATCCTTGACTTACAAGCACAATTTGAACCAGAACTTTGCTCGCTAAGTGATTCAACTGTTAAGTGAGTTGGGTCCAATTTTATGACCTTTTCAATGGGGTCATTAAATGATCATCATGGACATTAAGCAAATCATGTAGGTGTTAAGCAAATCCAGCTCCCCCCACTGACTTTGTTTGTCAGAACCCTCCTTAGAAAGTCGCAAATGGGAATCACATGATCCCAGGATGCTGCAAATACATGCTGGTTCCTAAGCACCCAAATTTTGATCAAATCACCACAGGACACTGCAACGATCGTAAGTGTGAGTAAACTACTTTTTTGAGAGCCATCATAACTCCAAACAGTTGTGAAATAAATGGTCATAAGTCAAGGATTATCTCTTAACAGTAAAAAGCAGTGAAACTGTTTATCTTGCAACGGGCTCCCATTTTCCCTGTTCAGATTAATTCCTTTGGCGAAGGGTCATACCACCAGACATGTCTTCTTGCTTCTTGATTTCTGCAAGATGGTCTTGGAGATGACATTCCTGTTTTGGAGATGGTCTCCAAATAGAATTTGGGCCGCAGGTGGCCTGCACCTGCTATAAATAGATTGATTTAACGGAACATTTGAATAGCAGTTTCAAGATTTTTAATTCCAACAGGCCAAGCTGAGCCCAACTAATGGATAAAGGACCCTATTGTTGTGCTTAATGGACCCCTAAGGTTTACAGAAGAACAAAATATTAGAGAAAGAAGGAGACACTCTGTCTCCTGCTCCTCCTAAAAGCCAAATGTAGAATGTGGCTACCAGTATAAGATGACCCAGAATCCATTCAGAACATGGGAAGACAAAGCACTGCAAGCAGCTGGACCCTCTATGGCAGGGGTCTCCAATCTTGGCAACTTTAAGCCTGGAGGACTTCAACTCCCAAAATTCTGGGAGCTGAAGTCCTCCAGGCTTACAAGGTTGGAGACCCCTGCTCTATGGTACTGTTTCTCAACCCTGGCAACTTTAAGGACTCGTGGATTTCAAGTCCCAGAATTCTGGCTGGCTGAGAAATTCTGGGAGTTGAAGTCCACATGTCTTAAACTTGCCATGGTAGAGAAACACTGCTCTAAAGGGTCACTTATTTAGGAAGGGAGACACCCTGGTTACATTTAGTCCCCGCAAAAACATGTAACTGCTTTTAAAAGCTGCTTTGAGAGGGAACTGTGTAATGTGGCAAGTGAGAGCTTTCTGTTCTTTCCATCCCTCTTGCTCCTAATCATCTCCCTCTTCATAGCAATTTACACCCAGCAACCCACAACTTCCTGTAGTTGCCCTGCTGAAGTTGGGTATCTAAATAATTTAGCAGGACAACCTTAGACCATTTGGGGTTTAGAATGGGAAAGAGCGCTGTTTGGCTCAAGGAGCCTTCCCACTCTTACCTGCCCTCTGCCAGTAAAAGAGAAGAAGAAAAAAACAAGCTGAACAATTTTACTCCTCTACCCGCTTCCAGTGGTATCTCTGAAATAAATACAGTGTTGTGTGGCTCCTCTTCAGAGGTTTGGGAAGCTAAATTGCAGTCTTCACCCCTCAGATGATGTAACACTACTGCAACGTCGCTAGCAGCCATTAAATGTGCCCCTGACAGTCCACCTTGTCTTGCCTTTAGGTTTGTGCATGCCAAGTACGTGCTACAGGGAAGATGTACGCTTGCAAAAAGCTGGAGAAGAAGCGCATCAAGAAGCGGAAAGGGGAAGCAATGGCCCTGAATGAGAAGCAGATCCTGGAGAAGGTCAATAGCCCATTTGTGGTGAGCAACAGTCCTGACTGTGTTGTTGATGACTGCATTTGGGATTGGCCTTTAGAAGACTGAAATATCCAAAGACTTTCACTTGCTAATGCTATTTGGCTCTGCATTCTGAGGGGGATTTCACAGTATCAGATTCAGCCTGGTTGATTTAGCTGCAGTTATTGCCCATGATAATTAAATGAAACTTCTTGCATTCAAAAGCGATGGTCAAGTGTCTTTTAGGGGCAGCCCAGCCCAGTTTTCTCCAGATATAACTGGGTAAATAATGTTGTACCAAAATACACTTCCAATTCCTAGAAATTGCTTGTTCTGTGTCACTTTTAAAGTGGCCCTGTCATTTTTCAGGTTTCACTCATCTGAAAAAAAATTGTGGCTGTTTTAATTAGTAGCAGAGTAGCTGGACTTGCATTCTGGAAGACTGCGAGCGAGTTATTTTCAAAGCGTGCACAGTTCTATCAAATATAAGAGAATAAGGCAGCTCCCTGTATTTATAAACTATTGAATGTCATATGTTTATGGAAGGGGATAAACAGATGATTGCTATCTACATGTTTCTTGATAATTGGACACTGTAGAAGCAGAATATTCTGCAGTATGCTTGGAGTCATCTCCTCCTTCTTTTCATCTATGCCAACAGGTCAGTTTGGCTTACGCGTATGAAACCAAGGATGCTCTGTGCCTGGTCCTCACAATCATGAATGGAGGTGATCTGAAGTTTCACATCTACAACATGGGCAACTCGGGTTTTGACAATGAGCGGGTCACCTTCTACGCTGCAGAGATTTGCTGTGGCCTTGAACATTTGCACCGGGAGGGCATTGTTTACAGGTAAGAGGGGATGAAATTATTTCCTGGTTCCAAAAAGGTAGAGAAAGGGCTAAGGTAAAGTCTCTCTTAATTGGCATGATGGAGAAGTGATCATCATCCTTTATCTGATTAAGTGTTGAGTTATCTGAATGGCAGAGGGAATCAACTGCTAAACCAACGTCGCTCTACCTGGCACTCCACGTGGATTCTTTAGGTGTTGTGACCAACAATTTTAGAGGGAGAGACGTGCTAAACCAGGGGTCGCCAACCTTTTGGACCTCAGGGACCACTAAACTCATAATTTTAAATCCCAGAGACCACTAACTGGTTCTGTGGACATGGCCTAATTTATGGGTGTGGCTTGGTGGTCATGTGACTGGCTGGGCATGGCTTGTATGTAAATATAAATATTTATATAAATATTGATTTTTTTATAAAAAAGAGCAACTTTTTCCCAAAATCAGGCAAAGCAGGCAGGCAGATTGAGTTGCTCAACAGAATCACAGATTCATTCCGAAATCTATCTATCTGCCATTGCCTGGCTCAGTCTGTCACATAAAATTTGCTTGCAAGCAAACTCATAAAATTAACTCACAACACACCATGCCTGTAACTATTGATTTTTTTATTTTAAAAAGAGCAACTTTTACCCAAAATCAGGCAAAGCAGGTAGGCAGATTGAGTTGCTCAGAGAATCACAAATTCATTCAGAAATCTATCTGTCTGCCATCGGCTAGCTCAGTCTCTCAAACTTGCTTGCCATGAGTCTGCACTGAATTTGCTTGCAAGCAAACCTTCAGTCCTAAGGGAGGTTCGGCTGTGCTTAGCTAGAAAGCAAGAAATCCAATCATTTCCTGCTTCCTAGCTAATCTAAATCTCCTGGCACAGCAGAACACCTGATGGTCGGAAAAAGGAAAAATAGCAACTTAGCAGACAAGTTTGACGGGTAAGGAGTGAGTGGGCGGAGAGGGTTCCCGCGAGCCATGTGGGCTGAGCAGCCTTGTGTTTCTGTGCAACTTGGATTAATTGCTTTGGGGGGGTGCTCTGGGGGTGAGATTTCTCTGCAGTCCACCAAAATTTTCTCACGGCCCACCGGTTGGTGACCGCTGTGCTAAACCATAATGGATTAGACCAGTGGTTCCCAAACTTTTTGAGTACACAGCCCCCTTGGTGCTACAAACTCATCCTCGGTGCCCAAACTTTTTGAGTACACCGCCCCCTTGGTGCTACAAACTCATCCTCGGTGCCCCCCACCCAGGGGTGGGATTCAAATTTCTGTGGGCATGGCCTAATTTGAGAGTGTGGCTTGCTGGTCATGTGACTGGGTGGGCATGGCCAGGTGACTGGCAAACCAAATACAAGTGGTCCTCACTTAATGGTCGGTTGTTTAGCAAGTGTTCTAATTTATGACTGGCCTCCCCAGAGCTACTTGACCTGTTTTTGGAGTTTTGACAGCTTTAGATCAGGACTCTAAATCCCACCCCTGCCTGTGTGTGTGAGAGAGAGGGAGAGAGAGAGGTTGGATCAGATCTCGATCTCTCTCTCTCACCAACGCCAGAAAGCCACTGTCAGTCAAAATTCATATTAGTGGTCTCCGGGATTTAAAATTATGAGTTTGGTGGTCCCTGAGGTCCAAAAGTTTGGTGACCCCTGATCTAAAGGGGTGAGCCTGAGAGAGGGAAAGAGAGAGAGAAAAGAAAGAGAGAGAGAAAGAGAGGAAGAAAAGAAAGAGAAAAGGGAAAGAAAGAAAAAGGGACAGACAAAGAATGGGGGAATGGAAGGAAGGGACAGAAAGAAAAAGAAATAAAGAAGGAGGGAGGGAGGAGAAAGAAAATGAGATATCTATTCTGGTCCAATCACCTGCTCTAGCAGGGTTAGAAGGGAGTGTGTGTGTGTGTGTCTGTGTTCTCCTTGTAATTTACCAGTACATTTTGGTTTTGCCTTCTTCAGAATTGGCACTGTAATACATTGGGGAAAAGTAATTTTAGGGTGGAGATCTCGTCCAATGGATCCTGTTTAAAGCCTCAACAAAATGTGAGAGCTTCCTGATAGTCTTGACCATGTTTCGTCCACAAAACCTTTAATAGAAGCCAAAGAGGTTTCAATGTGCTGGCAAAGATATTCCAATGTTTCATTGGAGGCGCTGGTTCCGGAGCATTACTACAGTCAATGGGTGAACCTGCAGGGCTGGTGCCTCGAACGCCCCCCTGCCGACTCTTAGCATCCCCAAGGGGGCCAACAGAGGGGCGCTAAGAGGCGGCAAGGGCGGCGCATCGTAACGTGCCACCGCTTCTGCATTGGAGAGGCTGGCTCCGAAGCAGTGCCAGTCAATGGGTGAACCTGTAGGGCCGGACGGCACCTTGAACGCTCCCCTGCCACCTCTTAGCATCCCCAAGGGGGCCGGCAGAGGGGCGCTAAGAGGCGGCAGGGGGGCAGCACATCGTAATGTGCCACCGCTTCCGCCTTGGAGGCGCCAGCTCTGGAGCAGTGAATGAGTGAACCTGCAGGGCCGGTGCCTCAAACGCCCCCCTGCCGCCTCTTAGCGCCCCCCTGCAGGCCCCTTGCCTCTTAGCGCCCCCCTAAGGCATCCCACCACCCCCCAGGGGGTGGTACCGCCCACTTTGGTAACCACTAGATTAGACGAAAGGATCCACTTGTCTCTATAACCCTTTTGAATGCCAAACCCCAGTGTGGTCCTTTATCCCTCTGAGATTTAAAGTAGCACTCACTGGATAACAATCACCCGCCTATCATTTGATGTCACTGACCAAATGAATCATTATAGACCTAAGCTTGAAATCAACTGTCCATCTGTAGACCTTCCTAATGGTGGTCATCTCTCCCTTTGAGATTCAAAGCTTTCCCAAATCAAGCACTTTTAGCACTCAGTGCTGGATAACATTCATCAGTGAAAACTGCAACAGAATGCTGTGGTAATCCTGATCACTGAGCTTAATAGAGCGACATCCTCTTCCCCAAAAAATCTATTTCCACTCCCCCTTCCTCTTCTTCATACACACACACACACATACACACACACACCGCTTTTCGCAAGCAGCCAGCATTCCACACCCATGAGTGTTCTGCATTCTAATTGGTCTGTTTGGGAGAAACACACTCTATTAACCTTTCTCTCTAAGTATATTTTCTATTTCTACATAAATTGGGATTCTCCCAAGTTTACTACTAGCTCCCTCTTGTGTGTCAATGGTGTCAAGTCGCAGGAGCCATGCCTGCACAGTTAAAATCTGCACAGGAGTGTTTCCTAGCCTTTTCATCTTCCTTGTAAAGTGGAAGTACAAACATACTATCTAGAAATGCTGTATTATTACGTATTGCTCTATATTTGATCTACAGCAAGAGCCTCTCTTGTGAGTCCCTCTAAGGTGGGACTAGAATGTAGTCGTGCATTAGAACACTCTCCCCCATTTTTTTTAACATCATTGTTGTTGTTGTTGTTAGTCACGAAGTCATGTCCGACCCATTGTCCGACCCATGGACAACGTTCCTCCAGGCCTTCCTATCCTCTACCATCCCCCAGAGTCCATTTAAGCTCACATCGACTACTTTAGTGACTCCATCCAGCCACCTCATTCTCTGCCATCCCCTTTTTCTTTTGCCCTCAATCATTCCCAGCATCAGGCTCTTCTCCAGTGAGTCCTTCCTTCGCATTAGGTGGCCAAAGTATTTGAGTTTCATCTTCAGGATCTGGCCTTCTAAAGAGCAGTCAGGATTGATCTCCTCTAGGACTGACCAGTTTGATCACCTTGTAGTCCAAGGGACTCGCAGGAGTCTTCTGCAGCACCAGAGTTCAAAGGCCTCAATTCTTTGGCACTCAGCCTTCCTTATGGTCCAACTTTCACAGCCATATATTGCAACTGGGAAAACTATAGCCTTGACTATACACACTTTTGTTGGCAGGGTGATGGCTCAGCTTTTTAATATGCTGTCTACATTTGCCATAGCTTTCCTCCCCAGGAGCAAGCAACTTTTAATTTCTTGGCTGTAGTCCCCATCTGCGGTGATCTTGGAGCCCAGGAAAATAAAATCTGTCACCTCCAAGAAAAAGTAATGTTATGATTTACCTAAAAATTATGTTCAATAATGTGCATAAGACAGCTGGTTCCAAATGGAATGAAAGTAACCAAAAAGTATTTAGCAAATGGGAAAAATTGCACAGCATTATTTATTCTCCCTTATTAAGACATGTTTATTTTCTTTAAAATCCCACAGCACTTTACTGCAATAAAAGAATACAATTAGAAAAGTACTATAATGCAATGCATACAGTAATATATGTTGTATTATAGTACAAATAGAAAACTAAATATAAATTAATACAAATTGGAAACTAAGGAGCCTCAATTACATATAAAGCCTGGCAAAGAACTGGGGGAATTCCTGAGTATTATTAGGCAAGATCATTCTAACTTAAAATACATTCTGTCTTGTTAAACAAACCAGCAAAATCAGCCAGTATATGTGATTGACTTACCTAATAATTGACAGGAATCTATTTTAAATAATTATTTCAGATTTGCACATAGTTGTCAACCAAACAAGTAGAGTTATACATTCTGGGTTTTTTTCCTACTCATGTAAAAGAGACAGAAGGGAAAAGGGTGTGTGGGTGATTCTTGGCAGCTACTTGTCTGCACATGTGCAAGCATTCCTTCATGGATTTAGCCATTGTATTATGCCATGGTTTCTTAACCTTGTTTATTCAATAATACATCATCAGACTAACCGCACTGTGGCTTCAGTGAAGTTTGAATCAACATGAACATGCTTGCCAGAGAGTTGAAGGAGTTATAATCAAACACCTCTCAAGAACACTAGTCTGGGGAAAGCTCTGTTCAAGATAAAAGTAACTACAAAGTGAGCAAACCACAAGAAAATGTGGAAAGGAAGCCTATTAAAACAACTGAAAAAGGAAAAGACTGTCCCAGTTAAAAGGTGGTCCTCCAGGATTAAGATGATAGAGAGGGATATTTAGAAGTAATTTTGCTAGAAGGTGCCTAGACAAAAATCAAACCATCTGTTATGTATGTAAGTTTCAAATGTTCTGGGAGCCCCCTTGGTTTATTTCTTTATTTTATTTGTATCCTGCCTTTGTCATTTTTATAAACAACTCAAAGCAGTGAACATATTTAGAGTGGAGTGGATTGGAGTGGAGTGGAGTGGAATGGAATGGAATGGAATAGAATAGAATAGAATAGAATAGAATAGAATAGAATAGAATAGA